TTCCACAATTCTCTCTCTCTCTCTCTCTCTCTCTCTCTCTCTCTCTCTCTCTCTCTCTTTCTCTCTCTCACACATACACACACACAAATTCTCTCTCTCTCTCTCTCTGTCACACACACACACACACACACACACACACACACTAAATAAAAATAAATGTTTAAAAATAAAGTTGAAAGGAAAATTTATTAGCACCTGAAATGTGAGTCTGGGAAGAAATTTTTTTTCTCTAAATATTTCTTGTTTTTCTTTGAGACAAATGGTATAATTCTCAAAATGCTGGTTTTGTCTTTTATGTTAAAATGCAGTAATTGTAAATTTGCCTCACTTTTCAGCTCCTAAGTGTCAGGTCCTATGTGAGGGACTCCTTTTTTCCAAAAAGCTGTTAATAGTTGGTATCCCAGGAGCTAACAAAAGTGCATGCCTTCGGAAGACGGAAGGTTCTCCGTGGCTCTTCTGACCTCTTGTTTTGTTTTCGATTACAGGCAGCCATGTGCTATGTCCACGTAACAGCCTTGGTGGCAGAGTATCTCACGCGGAAGGGTGAGGAGAGATGCCTGGGCCTTGGGCAGGGGGCCGTGCGGGTGGATCTGGAGGCAAGGAATCTCGTGCACATAGGCGTGCTGCGGCTGCTTTAGCTCCAGTTACAGCATTTGATTGCCTCCATGGGCAAAGCAAAAAATGCCAAGTTCAGAAGAGAACACGGCATGTTGTCCTAGCCTCGTGCTGTTCTGCAAAAAATAGCTAATGAGCTTTGCTTCTGGCTGTTCCTGACCAGCTAATGTAGAGCTGAAGTGACTTCATTTTCCTTTAAGATAATTCTCACTGTTTATCAATCAAGTGACAGTTTTAACGGGAAGTTATTGAACAGATTTTCTGGAATGTAGCCCTGTAGGCTTTATCATGGGAAAAGGCAATTATGCTAACCAGAGGTCGGGACAAGTTACGCTCCATACTTGTGTATTATGCACTTGTTCCCATGAGTTCGTTCATGGTTCCTCCTGGTTAAACACCAGTTACTTGGGGCAGCCTTCAAGGGTGGCATCTCATTTTGGAATACTGAGGTTCTAGGAAAGCTGGCAATCTGTACACACAATACTGAAGAATATGAGTGTCTGATCCAGGCCAATGAGGAGTGCTTTTACAAAGTGAGAAGCATTATGAAGTGGCAGGTGCCAAGGCCACGAAAATGTCTATTTTGTAGAATGGGTTTGTCATACATCAGAGTCAGACTGAGAGAAGAAATCAAAGGGGCCATGTTGATATGTTATTTCCTGCTGAGTCTTTTTATTGGGTGATGCGTTTCCTCGTGTTTAGAAGCTGACCTAGCACTCCAGCGGGAGCCGTCTCTCTTCCCCCACAGCCATAACACGTGCCAGAGGAAGAGCCGGGGAGGTGAGCCGAGGATCACCCAGCTCCCCAGGGTCCCCAACCGCTCTGTTCACATGCCGCTCCAGGGCTCTGGTGGTTTCTGTTTCAATTCCTCCCTCTCCTCTGTACCTGGGCTCTGTGTCACTCACAGCCATTGTTCTGTGCAGCGAAGGAAAGCATTGTACCAGCATGCTTGTTCCGTTGACCTCAACACCAGCATTGACTTTTTTTATACCTTTGTTTTCGGCGCCTTAATGTGCCCTCAAGTTCCTGGGTCACAGCTTTTCTTTGGGGATTCTGTGCTTTCTCTATCGCCAGATCAAAGCGAGGCTGTATGAGGACCATGGTGGAAATGGCTACCTCGGGATTGACTGGAAGCCTGGACACATGTGTGGCAGGAAAATCTCTGCTTTGGGGTTCTACTTTTAAAAGCCTGATTTCAAAATACTCTGTTTCTTTTTCCCAAAATCATGAAGGAGCATCTCAAACTAGAGTGGCTGACCATTTCAAGTCCTCCCTCGCTGACACATCACACAGCTGAGGTTGAACTGGCCCAAAACTGTGTCCCAATGTCCGGCCTGAGCTGTCACTGCTCGAGGAATGGACACTTCCCCGGAAGCTGACCTCCCTTGAGAGCACTGTAGCTCTGGGCTTCTCTTCACCCCAGGCAGCTCCTCAGCCTGCAGACACCTCACTGTTGAATTATCTGTGTTACTGGAGGGAGTCGGGAGGGCTCCAGCCCGAGTTGTGGGTCTTCCCCAGCCCGAGTAGGTGAGATGATCCATGCGTGAAGGAAACAGTTGATTTGGGGCCACTTACTTCTCTTTCATTGGCTTTGGCTACTTTCTTTTTCTTGGTATCTGACTATGGATCCTTTGACCAAACATTTCCTTGTTAATTTATCACTAGCTTGACTCAGTTATGGTTTTTCAGCGTGTGGTTTCTTTGAAGATTGAGTGGATTTTAATTAAAGTGGGTAAGAAATTACAAAGAGTTGAGAAGCAAAGTGGGGAAGGTTAAGTGTGGGGAAATGGATGGAGAGAGGACATGCTGGTCCCCAGCCTCCCGTGTGGACGCTGGGCTGACACATGACAGGTCTCCTCGTCAGCCGTTCACTTCAAACGTGAAAGAGCCTGACTCTAGAAGGTAGGAGGATCCAGGTTTCAACAGAGAAGTGCACAGGGAGGAAGAACCCGAGAGTTCGAGCCACACTCAGGTCGGCAGCTCTCCCTCTGCTTTCTCTCCGCCTAGGCATGTTCAGACAGGGGTGCACGGCCTTCCGGGTTATCACACCGAACATCGATGAAGAGGCTTCCATGATGGAAGACGTCGGGATGCAGGATGTCCATTTCAATGAGGTGAGTGCTGTGGCTCCGGTGGGTTGAGTACAGTCACACACCACACGACATTGCTGTCACTAATAGATGCACACAGGAAGGTGATCCCTCCAGACCTTGTCACCTAGGAACATTGTAGTCATGCTCTTTAGACACTCCTTGAGATGGTCTTCCAGCAAGAAAATCACCCAAGGCCCACGGTTCTCAGAACACATTGCTATGTAAAGATACTCAGGGCCTGCTGGCCACTGTGAGTGCATCGACTCAGGGCCTTTCTCCCCACAAAGCCTTGGGCGCCTCCCCAGACAGCTGAAAGGTGGCAGGCAAAGCTCTGCTGCTCTCCTGAGCCAGGCCTCCTGGAGGGAAGGCGTGCTTGAGAACTTACGTCAGACAGAGGTCCAGCACGTCTCAGGTTATGTTTCTTAGCCTTTCTACCAGTATCTCTGGATCGTGAGTTTTATTACTGTCTTAATCTGCCTTTAATTTTAATTAGTGTCTCTGATTCTAGGCACTTCTCCCTAGCAGACAGGCAAAGCCCAGCAGAACAGGCTAGACATCCTGTTGGAGGGCCTGGTTCCTGCCTCTACCTCAGTGCTGAGGCCCAGGGCCACCTAGTCCATCTCTGTAGAGACTATAAAACAAGCATTTTCTGTAAACTTCACAAAACAGAACAGCCATGTGGTCACTTATGTGTAAGGAGACAGCTTTGATATAAAACTAGGAATATGAACAAATGCCAGTTTTCCACTTTGATTCACTACATTCTCTGTTCTGGGAATCTCTGCTTCAAGAACACACTTGTGTTCCTGTGCATCCCTCCCTCCCCCACAAAGCCAGAGGAGAGCGAAAGAAGCAAAAGAAATCTTTTTAGTCCTGCCATCTTCTAAGGAAAAAGATAGAATTATCCAATTCTTCATTTGGAGAGAAAAAAATCAACACAGAGGAGTGCATACCCTCTGCCTCCATTGAAATTGTCTTACCTTGACTTGGGGGACCATGGTGTGGTGGCCCACAGTTTACAGTTCTTGATTGTTTTTATGCCAGAAAGAAGGGTCCATGAACAAACATCAAGACCTGTGGACCATTTCCAAAGTGTAGTCTAGACCCCGCTATGGAAGCTCGTGAGGCCCTTACTGAGTGCTGGTACAATGCTGGATTCCTCACGTGCATCAATTCACTCATGAAACAGACTGAGTATAGAAGGTGGGAGGATCCAGGTTTTAATAATCGAAAGTTCTTTGTGGTCTTCAGTAAAATTTAAGATGTAGAAGGGACTAGAGAGATGGCTCAGGAGTTACGAGTGCCTACTGCTCTCACAGAGGACCCAGGTTTCATCAGATGACTCTCAACCACCTGTAACTCCAGTTCCAGGGAGTTCAGCACCCTCTTCTGGACTCCAGGCATTTTCACACACACACACACACACACACACACACACACACACACACACACACACACACACACAATTAAACATAAAATCTCTTTTATACCAAGCACAGTTGCACACACCTTTAATCCCAGTACTAGGGAAGCAAAGGCAGAAGAATATCTATGTGTTCAAGGCCAACCTGGTCTTCATATCAAGTTCTAGGACAGCCATAGCTATGTAGAGAGACTGTGTCTCAAAAACAACAACAAATCAAACACTACCTTTTATAAAGGGGCTCTTAAATACAAAAAAATTAAGAACTGCTATTATAAATTGTCTAGTTTCAAATGGCTCTCAAAATTAAAAGCTAAATATGAAAAAAAAAGCAAGTATATTGAGTGCACTTCATGAAGTTTAAATGTTAAAATAGGGCTTGAGGGACAACTTGGCTATTAAGAGTGCTGTCTGCTCAATCATGAAGACCTGAGTTCAGTTCCCAGCACCCACGTCGGGCAGCTCACAACCACCTGTAACTCTGACTCCAAGGGATCTGATGCCCTCTTCTGGTCTCGGTGGATACCTGCACTCATGTGCATATATACTCAGACACAAATACATAAACATGAATAAAATAAATCTTTAAAAGAGAATAACATTAAAATAGGTTTAACCAAGGTAAGTGAAATTTTCTAATTATTCTTGAGAACATAAGCTGTCTACTCCGTAGTATTTAGTGATTACTCCATTTTCACACCATGAAATGCCTGAAGAGACCAGTTTCCTTGAAAACAGGCATGATTGCCAGGTGGTGGTGGTACACGCCCTTAATCCCAGCACTTGGGAGGCAGAGCCAGGCAGTTCTCTGTGAGTTCAAGGCCAGCCTGGGCTACAGAGCGAGATCCATGACAGGCACCAAAACTACACAGAGAAACCCTGTCTGGAAAAGCCAAAAGAAAAAGGAAACAGGCATGACTGTGTTTTCTCTTTGTTAAGCCTACATCAGCGCTGGTTCCAGGTGATTCTTTGGAGCTCTGTATTCTGTTTGGAATTAGATAAGGAACACAACAATGCCAAAAACAATCAAGGATTTGAAAGTCTTGTTTCCAGTAAGCTGCCCTGTGGGGATAACATGATGCTCACATCCGCACTTCTGATTAAACTGCAGATTGAGGTAGTTATGAGAACTTAATGAATTAGCGTCTGAGGTCAAATGTACACATGCCTTAGGGAAACCAATGAATGGCGCCACCTCTGAGTAAGAATTAAGCATGTGACAAAGACTACTTTATCAGCTGTTTTCAGAATATGGATGTGCCACCCTGTCCTTGAAGCATAAAGTGGGTAAATCGTTAACAAGGTCCATAGTGCATGAAAGTCTGTACTGGTTAGGATGAGACACTGTAGGGCCATAAAGACCTGCTGTCAAGATTCAAACTGACAGGAAATAACCAGTTCTCAGTGACAGGGACAGAGAAATGCTGTGTTGATCTTCAGCTTGGCTGCTTAGCTGTCTCATGGTAAAGAGAGACATGGAAAACCTGTACTCAAGAGGAAAGAACTACAAGAGTTGATGAGAAAGAAGCATTTGACCCAGTAATAAAAATCACAAGCCCTTTAATGTTCACCAGTAGAAATGATTAAATACCTTCAGTGCTCTAACATGACCCTGACAGGGAGCTACTAAAAAGGCACAAAAGTCCTAGCAGCAGACCTCAGACCTGATGAGTGTTTGGTCCATTTCTGCCTTCCCTGGTAGAGGCACAGAATAACGTCCAGGTGGCCCTGGCTTATGGCGTTGGTGGCTGGCTCTACCCCTTCAGGTCCACCTTACTGTCCCAGCTCTGGAAAGCTGCTGTGTCCGCACTGTGGCATCAGCTGTTCATAGCAGGGCCTCGTAAACAAGCTGCACTCTGGTGTGCTGCCAGCAGCGGGTTTGGGGTACATGCCCCACGTTGGGCGCCAAATGTAATGAGTCTTTCTGTGCCCCTCCAGCCAGCTCCCAAGTAATAACATGGAGACTTCTTACTAATTATGAAACCTTGGCCTATATCTCAGGCTTGTTCCTAACTAGCTCAAATCACTTAATCCATTTATGTTAGTCTACGTTCTGTCACATGGCATTACCTCTCTTCCGTCTTGTACATCCTGTTTCCTCTCCATGTCTCCTGGCGTCTCCCACAATCTCTGTGTTCCTAGACTCCTCCTCCTCTTTCTTTCTCTGCCCGGAAGTCCTGCCTAAACCTCCTGTCTAGCTATTGGCCTTTCAGCTTTTTAATTACACCAATCACAGCAATATACCTTCACATTGTGTACAAATATCCCACAACAAATAAATCCCACCTGTGTGGTCACCATTGAGTACAGGGAACATTTTATGAACTCAACCCAGCAAGTCTCTGGCTTCCTTGAGACAAAATCTTTTCTATTCTGAAACAGTTGCCAGTAACAGACAAAATGTTCACATCCATAGGACATCTCAGAAGACAGAGAAGTCAACAGAGCAGTTGGTGATTTTATTTATATCTCGTCCTAACTTTGGCATTTGTAACCCCATCTGACTTCCATTTCCTCAACTGGGAGTGTTCTAGAACCATCTGAGTTACTTGTGTTCCCTCACTAGTACAGTGATTCTCCCAAACAGCATTGGTCCTGAGAAGGGGGACTTGTGTGGTTGTTCTGTCCATGGTTGACACCAGAACATTCTTCATGTGAAGTGAGTGCTAGGCTTCCTTGGCAGTGAGCTGCATGATAGAGATACATAGAGAGGCAAGATGGAGTCCCTGCCATAGCTTCAGATGTTTACTTCCCATCGAAGGAGGACACCTAATTCACAGTCCCAGAGAATCATAATTGGAAGTTGTCTGAGTTCATGTGTCCTGGAGACTTCTGTACTGACTTGTTGATTCATCCACAAACTAACTGTATGTGTCCAGTGCTAGCCAAGGGGGCTTGCCTTGAAGACTTAAACCAATACAGTAGCACCCAGACTTCCATGTGCTTAGGAGTTACATGGATTCCTGTTATAATCTAAATGATGCTCTCTTGACCCTTCATTCCCAAATTCACTTAAGTATATGTGGGACACAATAATCAGTATTTTTTTCAGATTTAAAAAAAAAAATTTATTCATGTGTTTGTGTATACCAGAAGAGAATGTTGGGTCTTCTAGAGCTGGAGTTACATGGGTGCTGGCAGGAATGGGTGCTGGGAACCAAATGTAGGTTCTCTGGAAGATCAGCAAGTGCTTGTATCCTCTGAGCTATCTGTCCAGGCCCTGGGATCAGTATTCTAACAGTTCAATGTTAGAATTCCAGTGACTGCATCTTGAGAAATGATGATACAGTGGAAATGTGAGGTATGCAATGATAGTATGCCATTGTCCAAGCCAGCTCACAGATTTGTTTATGCCCAAACTAGAGGCAGTGTATGGCTTTATTTTAATTGATTTCATCCTAAGATAGAACAAGCAACATGTATATGGAAAAAGTTAAGTGCCCCACACAAGCACTTTCTCATATGGGAATTAATTGTAATGCATATGCAACCACAGGTGTGTGGGGGTACACACCGGTGATCGTGTGACATTTCCATAAACAGGTGTTTGATATCCTCTATTATGTTAGTACAACATCCTTAAAAATGAAATTAGCTA